CTCGCCCGAGGGCGACCTGCAGAATCGTCGGAGGGAAGCAAGCAAGCGGGGAATTGCCTAGGCGCGACCTGAGCCCGAGTGGGGGTCGTCGCAACTGCCCAGGAGAGGGGGGGGGGGCGGGGGCGGCAGCGAAGGGGGGACAACGGGGGGGGAGGAAGATATGAGCAACAGGAGGGAAGGGACGGGAAAAAAGGAGGAGGCGAGGGCCGGCAGCAAAGGAAGCAAAGGGGGACGAAGAGGGGAATGGAGAGAGACAATGGGAGGGAGCGAATAGGAAGGAACGCGGAGAGGATTTTGGGAGCCGACCCTGCTTTGGCACCCGCATGTTTATCCATTTCTGCCCAACCCAGCGCCACGAGCGTGGAAGGGAACGTGATGGTAGGAGAGGCAGGGTCCGTTAACCGGAGTATGTTTGCTCATGAGCAAAGGGATGAAGAGCAAGGAAATGTTTTGACATCGACGCGGATGCTGCCGGGATGCAACCTGGAAATGGCGAGTCCCTCCTGAGAGATGCAGACACCTTCAACGCCTCCATTAGAGGCTGACCTATGCACAGATGGGGCCAGCTACCGAGGAGGGGGTCTGCACCAAGCGAAACTGGACGGAAGGCGTTTAGCGCATCCTTTGCTGCCGACGCCTGGAAAAAAGGGCTGAAAGCTAGAGGAGCCAGGACCCAAACTCCCTTGGCCTCGCTTGGTAACCATACAGCGAACGACAGCACAGCCACATGACCACCAGTGCGGAATGACCATTTCGACACTTGTTTCGTCAGCGGCGAGGCGCCGAAATCCGCACCAGCGCAACAGCTACGTAGGGGCACTAAGTAGCGAATTGGCCGGCGTGCAAGGACGGAGGGGGGGGGGCGATAGGAAGGAGGGACGCTCAGACGCCAAAGAATTCAACCATGAGCAGCCAGCGGGCGGCAGCAGCCAGGCGCGCAGGGCCAGAGCGCGGTGGGCTGCCGTGGCGAACCACAGTGGCAAGGGTGGCGGGGAGTGGCAGCCAGCCAGGGGCTGGGGGAGCACGGGAGACACCGCGAGCGCCGCACAGCGGCGCCCCGAGGAGAAAGCACAGCACTGAGCCGTACGGGGGCTGGAGCAGCGAAAAGCAGGCAGTGGCAGGGGCACTGCAGCGTGACTGCCTGAGGCCAGGTGGCCTGCGGGGCAGGGCGGGAGGCAGCGGGCAGAGCGTCCCAGGCGCCCGCGGAATGCAGGGCGGACCAGCGACGCAAGAGAGACGAGGGGCACCTGGAAGCGGCGACGCGACTGGACCGCCCAGCAGAGAGGACAGTGGCCGCCCAGGGCAGCCAGGGAGCAACAGGGCAGAGAGGGACGTGCAGGGCGCGGCGGGCGAAGCGTCCCGGTGGCCCGCAGGCGGGGCGAAACACCACTGCAACTGTGTTCAACAGGGAGAGGCAGCGCGGAGCCGCCGCGGAAAACGGCAGCACCGACGGGCGCGGAAGCCCGGCAGCAGAGCAGGGCGGCACAAACACGGGCCAGCGCGGCGCGCTGCGGGAGAACCGAAAGGGCGCAGGAGACGGCGAACGGGCGACGCGCCTCCCACCCGGGAGGTACGACGCGAGGAGCGGGGACTGGGAGCACCGGGAGGCGAAGAAGCCGGGTAGCGCCGCAGGGCGGCCCAGGGGTGGAACAGCGCGGAATGGCAGCGAAGCACCGAAGTGGCGCAGGGGACAGGGAGTGAGCGACGCGCGCCCTGCCCCGGAGGCAAAGGGCGGCGGTGGGGAGCACCAGGAACTTCAGAAGCCGAGGCGCTTGGCGGCCCAGAGGGCGGCACACCGCGATGGAGCAGAGAAGCGCCGAAATGGCGCGGGGGCCGGGGGAGAGCAACGCGCGCCCCACACGGGAGGCGCGTCGCGGAAGGGCGGCGGCGGGGCGCGCCGCGAGGCGCGGAAGCCGGGCACCAAGCGCAAGACCCGATGGGCGGCCCAGCGGGGAGCGACAGGGAAACACTGAAGTGGCGCGCGGACCGAGAATGAGCGACGCGCGTCCCACCTGGGAGGTGCGTCGCGGACAGCGGCAAGACGAGCGCGGAAGGATGCGAAAGCCGGGCGACGACGCCGCGAGGCCCAGTGGGCGGCGCAGCGGGCGCAGCGGAGAAGCGCCGAGATGGCGCAGGGACAGGGAGTGAGCGACGCGCGCCCCACCCAGGAGGCGCGCCGCGAGGGGGCAGCAGCGGGGGGCACTGGATCGGAAGCAGGGCAATGATGCTGGGCAACCCAACGAGCGGCCCAGCGTGCGCAGCAGAGCACCGACATGTCACAGGGGGCAGCACGCGCGCGACGCGGCCCCCACCGGGGAGGTGCGTCGCGAGGAGGAGGGGGGAGAAGGGCCACGCGCGGAGCGGCGTGGTGCCCGCGGGAAGCACGCCCCATAGCGGCGCCAAGCGCAGCGGGCGGCGACGGCTGCAACAGGTGCTCAGCGCCGAGAGCGGGCACTGGGGGCGTCGCCCCAGGCCGCGTCAAAGCGGCGCTTGCCAGGTTTGCCGCCTTCGTCGCCCCCTTTGCTTTGCTCGGCGGCGTCGCGCTCCCGCGCCTCCTGCCCGCGAGCGTTCTCGGCCTGCTGGTTGCGCCAGAACTGGCCCTACCCCACCTGGAGACCTCCCCACCGGCAGTATTTCTTGATGTGGATGTTCCAGCGCCACAGGTTAGCCACAAATTCTCGGCAAAAACATCATCGCTGGCAAACGGGTTGCATTTCCCTTTGCCGACGCCCCTGTCGCCACGCTTATCGCGCGCTTCCAGCCTTCGACGAAGTAAGAGCCAGCATCGATGCGGAGACGCCCAACGACGACAACCCAGCACTCTGGGCCGCCCCGGGTGCGCATGCGTCTGAAAAACGAGGCGGAGCCGCGGCTGGCGGCACAGCCTAGCATCCAGGTCGAGCCAGGCTCGGTCAGCGTGGTCGACGGGCCAGTCCGGGCCCCGCAAGCCGCCCATGCGCCGGTCGATTCCGCGCCTGACGTCGGCTGCGGCCTGCCCCGCCTCTCCCACCCAGTCGGGGTCGCTGCCGCAGCCGCGAGCGGGGGCGCTGGAAGCTGGCCTGTCGGGCGCTGCGCTTGGCCCGGGCCCGGCGGCGCGCGGCTGGGCCGGGGCGCGGTCGCCCCGGAATACGCCAAGAGCATGGCCAGTCTCGGCCCCGAAGAGCGCGCCCCGCCCGATGACCTATGCGCGGAGCGCTGCGTCGGCAGCGCCCCAGACGACGGCCCGCCGCGCTCTCACGCTGAGGAGGCCAAACTCCCCGAGCAGGGTGGGAGCGTCGCGATAGCGCACCTCTTCGACTGGGCCGGCGATGGATCCTGGGCCAGTAGCGGGCATGAGCAAGGTGCCCTTCTCGCCGGGGCTGGTTGCCCACACCACTGGCGCGGCGGAGAGATCGCCGCGCGCCACGGCGAAGTCTCGGGGGGCCAGGTCCGGCACACTGCCTGAGCGCGCCCTGAGCTCGAGGCTGGGGTCCAGGAGCGGGGTGCCTCTGCGGGCTGCGGCGATGGCTTCGTCCTCGTTCCCAGACCCCCGACGTCATGATTTTTTCATGACGCGACCCCCAGAGGTCCAGACCCATTCCCCGGGACCGGCTTCTCATCCCGAGTCGTTTTTTGACGGCCCCGAGGCCCGGCAAGGGCCCCCAGAGGCGGAAAATAGCGAAAAACCTCCCGTCGTGATGTCGTGATTTTTTCATGACTCGAGGAGGTCTGGGTTACCAGACAAGTCCGGCTCATCCTTCACAGGTACACCGCGCTCGACTGGGCGGCGCGGCTCACCGGGTGCGGCAGTGGCGCGGGCTGTCTCGCTCTGACCGACTGCCAGGAGCGCAGTGGCTGCGTTGCTGCCGCGGGCGAGGCCAGCCTCCCGGGCGGGGTCTCCGGCGTCCTGCGCGGCGCTGAGGGCCGCTGGGCGCGAGGCGCCTGCGCGAGGTGGGTGGTTGCGGGGCGGGGCAGCTCGGGCGTGCTAGCTGCATTTGGCGGGGGGCCGGGTGGGGACTCGGGTGCTGTTGTCTCCACGGCTGTCCCTCCTTGTGCTCGGGGCGATTGCCGCCTGGCGGCCGGTGCTGGCACCGCGTTGGCCAGGACAATGTAGCGTGCCAACAGCGGGGAGTCCAGAGCACGGATGTCGTGGATGGCCAGGAATCGGGCCAGCACCCGCACGCCGCACGCCAGATGGCCTGCGCCGTGAACGGCAGAGTCGTTGCCAAGGGGAGCCAGGAACGCCGAAGTTTGTCCAGGCGTTCGACACCTCGATTCACTTTCTTCCTGGCAAGATAGTTGACACCGTGAGCGAGAGCCGCCCTTCTGCCATTCCAAGGGAAGCGTTCGGTGGCGCCGTCCGCCGGGACATCATGCAGGTAGATCGTGGCCGCAACAGCGTGCCCCCCTCCATGCTCGAGGACGCCGCGGTACTGAGCCACGGGCGGCCCCCGAGCTAGCCACGTGTCTCCATAGCGTCCATCGCCCCAACTCTTGCTCGATCCCATTGTGGACCTGCAGCAGGAACGTCACCATGTCCTTCGCGATTGTGCTGGCGCGGGGTCCAGCTACGCCCAGCTGGGCGACCTCTCGCACTGCAAGGGCAGGGCAGCGCGGCGATGGCAGGTGACCAGACCGTGGAATATATCTTCTGGCCTGCAAGCGGGTCGCATGGCCGGGGCTACGGTTTCGACCGTGGTGCGCAATGTTCGGGTTGGCGTTCCGCGTTGGAAGTAGCCCTCCTCTGCGCGCGGGCAGCCATCGAAATGCGACCTGCTGAGGCCCCTGACGAAGCTGAGGAGGACCTCGAAGTAGAGCAACGCTGGGAGCTTTCAACGACGTCAGCTGTACCGGGATCGAGCTCGTTCCACTTGACAGCTGCCTGCGGGTTCTTGCTCACGACCCATTCGACCATGTGCTCCAGCATACGCTGCTTAGCTGTAGCTGCCCATGTCCACTCTGGTAGGCTGTCGGGGCCGTCTGGCGAGGGCCGCCCGTCTTGCCAACGGGTGCCCAGGAACTTCCGCAGCACGCTAGCGCCCAGGTCTGCGGGGGTCATGGAGCTATGCTTGACCTTATCAGCGCAGAAGCTGACCCATCTATGATTCACCGCAGGGCCGTGATCGACTCT